CCCCTCCAAAAGTGCGCTTTTTCCAATTTCAATCGCTGCTTTTATTTCATTCGAATTTTTTCTAGGAGTCGAATTCACCGCCAAATTCGATGCCGCCTCCAGCATTCTTACCATCCTTTGGCAAGGCTACTTCCAAAGGCCTTGGTGTTGCTGCCAACATTATGAGCAAATTTGGCTATAAACATGGCGGCGGACTCGGTAAGTTAAAGTAGAGAATGTGTTCATGATAATAAGTTTATTGGCTCTTTGCAGGACGTGATGAGCAAGGAATGAGCACAGCTCTCTCTGTTGAAAAACTAGGGAAGAACGCGGGACTTATCATCAACGAGAGTCAAGGTATTAGCTAATACTTTCTTTTAAATCTCCAAATGTGCTCTACTGTTGCAGGAAATGCTCCCGCTCAACCGTGTGCTCCAATGGGTGTTGCACCAATCAACATGACACAAGCTATGAAGAGTTCCACCAAAGTTCTGATGCTAACGGTTGGTTTTTTTGACAGCTTCCAAGTGGGCTACTCTGGAAAACATAATAATTTTCTAATCTTTTAAGAATATGGTTGGTCCTGACGAAGTCGACGACGAGCTTGAGCCTGAAATTCGCGAAGAGATGGCCAAGTATGGTCAGGTGGCGTCCGTAGTTATCCATAAGGTATTTCTTCTTTTCCTGTCAGCTTTTGCGAGTGTGTCTTTCGATTCATCAGAGATTTTTTCTAGCTGGAAGGTGTTAGTGACGACGTCGCCGTACGAATATTCGTAGAGTTTACGAATGTTGCACAAGCCATCAAGGCCTTTGTGGTGATGAATGGTCGATTTTTCGGAGGTCGATCGGTGGCTGCTTCGTTCTACTCCGTCGATGATTTTAATAATAAGGAGTATGGACGATAGTCGAGAATGGTCGGCGATATTGTGTACCCTCGAATACCTACATCTTCATACGAAAGCGTTTCGCTTGCCGGGTTATTTATTTGTGTTGATGGTTCCTGGACTTACAATTTTGTTCCCAACATGATGATCGGCTTTTTTGCGAATACAAATATGTTTTCCTTTGTGTTAAAGAGTTAGATCAAGTTTTGGTTATGACGTGCAAACTAAACATGTGTTAATTCAAAAATCTGCTCTGCCAAAGATCGGTATTATTCTTTACATGATATTATTCCAAATAAATTATTTTATGGTAAACTGAGCATGAGTGCTGT